GACATTATATACCGAGAAAGAAAGGTCTGATCGAACACAAGTTCTGGATATCGGTAAGAATTGAATTCAATTATTTCGCTTCTATATATAAAGAAGCTAATTCATATGTGTTAGTAGTAAAAATGAAAGATTTGAATTCTGATATGCTTTAAGTATCGTGTTATGCTAGCTGGTAGCCATAGAAATCAGAAGAACGAATCTCACTCATTGGAATGACAACCCGCCCTCCGTCGGGATTATTGTCACCTGCAACCGAGTAAAATTGATATTTGTGGTCTTTGTTCTATTCACGAGTTTTCACAGGAAGGCCCCGCTGCTGGCAGGAGCGGCAGGAGAAGGTGCAGGCCGCCTGGAAATGAACACAATCTGAAATCGCAGCCCCCGTTTGGGGAGAACTGGAGCTGGCATTGGGGCTTCCTGGAATGCGGACTAAGCTGGATGTGGTTGAAGACGCTGTTCCCCAAAATACCCACAGCCCTTCAACCTTCATTGCAAGCCGGGCCTATCTTCGCTGACTCTGCGAGTCTCCGGAATCCTCCTGATCAGACAGAGGCCGATGTTCCATGAGAAGAACAAGTGTATGCACCACAGGGAAACCCGCACGAATGAATCGAGGCTCATATTAAACCTTATAGATGCATGAAGACGACACAAGTACATGGCTCGAACGGCAAACTCCTGAACTTCGAATCATGCATATCTACATCCTGCCAATTCCGGTCTCCACCGGATGAAGCAGCAGCTGCTCATCCAAACTAAACACGCCGGCTTTGCCTTTGAGGGTCCTTCCTTGGCAACGCATCAAGAACCTCCTAGGTCCTAGATTGAAGAGGCCATCGATGCATCTTTGGAACACTCACGTCGAGCATTTTAGTCATTGCCAGTCCCCATTCGTGAAGTAAGCTCATTTTCAAGACGAGCATCACTTGTATCGTTCTCATCCGCAGCGTTTCCACTGGCACAAACATCACCAGCGAGAGTCCATCGTTGAGAAAATGGTTGCAGGCCATAGAGCTGTACACACAGCGTGCGTTGGGGCGTTTGCGTGCCGGGGCTGTCCACTGTACGCCGCCAATGCGCTTGTAACCAAGGCCAAGGCAAGCCAGGCCCATGTACGCTCGACAAATTGACCACGTGAAAGAGCAATGTGTGTGCTTGTTACGTGTAATCCCAGTATCGCAACGCACGCAGATTGGTTGGCCGTTCTTGATCCCCTGTTTTCGCTGGTAAGTAGTAGAGACGTGTCGACAAAAAGCCTGCCTCGTGCCATTATGAGTAGGGTGATTGCTTATCGTCCGTCTTGGATGCGCATGGGTTTGGTGCCCAGCAAATCGTCCAAACACCCACAGGGTGCATCCAAGCAAAGCCTGCCTCCCTCTGTCACCAGACAACAGGAGGTCTGCGAGCCATAAGAAGAGAAATGCTTCCCATGTTGTCAAAGCGAATGAATATGAGCTGGCTTTGGAGGAAGCAAAAAACTCAAATTTAGAGAAGAAGGATGGAAGGCTGGCTTCAGCTCGGATTGATTCTAAGCTGACGTGGCGAGCTGCAAGAATGGCAGGAAGTCGCGGATGGCAGCAGAAAAAGAATCGGCACATTCAGGCACAGAAAGATTAAAGAACCAGCAGCAACCATAGTAACAGGGGAACAGCACCTGTTGTATCCATGCGAGTGCGTTTAGACAGTAGCAATCATTGAGACTTCTTTGGTGCTACAAGATGCTACAAGCACATACAAAGCCATCATACAGAAGGCGACTCAGCTCCCAAGCGTGGACCCCAAATTGAACAAACATGATGCAGGAGCTCTCGGCGTAGGGGTTTTGCCGACCGCTCCATGGCCGCACGAAGAGCGCCCAAAGGTTATCAACAAACAGTCCACTTTGTTATGAAGTCTTGACGGTTCCGTACTCAAAAGCTCACACCAAGCAGTGATCTCGAGAGGTCATTCAATGAATGCTATGTTCGTAAAGGACAACACAAGTCCAGCACCAACAGTGAAACCATGAATGCTACAATGACGACATAGCGCCACTGCCTGTGAAAAGGTTGGCAGTAGCTCTTTCTGTCTGCGATAGCGTGCATCTTGAAACATACGACATGCACTCAAAATTGCATCCCGAGGCTTCGACACGAAATCTGCAAGCTGCATGGAGACAAACAGGGTGGACTCATCATCGTGAGTCTGGCAAAGCTCAATCAATCTTTGCAGGCTCAGCTCCGACAACGTAACTGTCCTAGCTGCTGTTGCTGGTAGCACTTCTCACCGTTTTCAAGCACGAACCTGGACCCTATGTAAATCAAAGTAGCGGGTACCTAACTAGGGCATTCGGGAACTCGGCGGGGTCTGCATGTCAATGTGAAGGAGGTTTGGAAGCGTTCTAAAGGGGACCTTGTTCTCCAGATGAAGCTCGAGCGTGACCTTCTGACCCTTGTACAGCTCTTTGACCTGGCCATGGCCAGGGCGAGGGCCGGTGTTAACGCAGTAGTGCTGACCCTGTAGACATGCCAGCAGGTCATGATGCTTGACTGGAAGCTCGGCACGACAGATGAAGTCGTGATCCTGTCCAAGGTTCAGAAAGCTCAGCCATCGGCCACAGAAAGGCTCAAGGGAGTCACGTCCTTTACAATACACAAAGTGTCCCAAAGAGCTTCTTTCGAAAGAAACTCGGCCCGGCCATGGGGAATGCCAGCGTAAACAGAGTGGCCCAGCCTCGCCGCCTGTGAGGTCATAGTCCCACACAGAAAAGATGATCACCTCGTGCGGCCAGCATGGGACCTTTCCTAGGGTCTCCGTTCGCCGTGGATTGGATGACAAATGGACAGTGGATGTGGTGGTTGTTGGCGGATGACCTGAATGTCAGACTTCCGTCCAGCCTGTGTGGATGTGTGGGAAGGCAGCGATATTATTTGGAGCTCCCACCCGCAGTGTGTTTGTGAATCAAGAAGTAGGATTGAACAAACAGATGCGTGATCAGATCAGCGAACTCGTAAGTCATTACATGTGAATGCCAATGCCTTTGTGTGTGCGCGACATGTATATAGATGCACAGTGCACATATATCTGCATACGCATTCATGTCTGCGTTTGTGCTTTATGGATATAGACATGTCTGGTAAACTTGCAGCGCAATTACATACTGCACCAAAACATAGAGCAGTTCCAAAAACGTTGGCTCGCAGCCCATCCCTCGAAGAACGTTGTCTTAGCACCTCAGTCCCCATGATGAAGAACTCGAACTGCTCGTTCCACTCTGGATCTGTAAAGCTGACCTGACATCTGGATGCACGCAACCAGGCTAAGCCAAGCTTGATGCAGCATACACTCATCTAAACCGGTCCGCAACATGCCCGCATGACAGAAGCACAAAGTCACGAAATGCTGCCACTGAAGGCCATATATCTAACCTGCATGTGCCATGAAAGCTTCCGAAAATGAAGTCAGCCAACCCCCACGTGACATCGAAGTGGAACATGCTTGTGCTAAGCCCAAAACGACGTACTGGGTCTCTTGCACCTCTTGTCCAACACGCACCTCTCAAAGCGATCGCACTTCGACCATCAAAGTGACTGACATTCATGTCCTACATGGCGAGGTATGTGCAGATCCCAAGTTCTAACCGTGTGGGGCAGGAAGCTTGAAACTTGTGGCAGCTATTGGCTAACTGCTGCCTTCACGAAGGGATCCAGACTGTTGATGAACATGCCAGCTTGAAGGCCTGTTGCTCTCAGGACCTGGGTCACATGCTTAGGAGCACCGCTACAGCCAAGTCCGCAGAACACGCGAGGCTATCTTGCAACCGAACTTGCATCAATCCGAAGTTGTTCAGCTACGGACCGTGCATCTGTCATGTCAATCTAGAGTGGCGTGATGTGGAGTGTATTGCGAGGCACGCAAAACGAAGCCTGGCCCGAAAGGCGCGGGAAATGTAACGATTCATCGTGTATACAGCACAGAGGGAAAGACGCAGGGAGAGAGAGAGAGAGAGAGAGAGAGAGAGAGAGAGAGAGAGAGAGAGAGAGAGAAAGAGAGAGAGAGAGAGAGGGAGCGAGACAGACCGAGCGAGAGACGCAAGCAGTGAAAAGATAAGCCTGCCAACGCATCTGAATTTATGCGGACGGAAAGAGCCGAAAATGCGTTTACTTGCAGGTGCGTAAACTAAACATATGCGACACCATCATGTGCGTCGATGTGTACCTGCGCACCAATGAATACAACGACATGTATGTGTGCGTTCCCGGCTGACTAATTACTCGTTTCGGCACACACTCCACCTCGATGCTGCAAGAAACAGGCCTGCTGGAGCAGTCGAACAGGAATGGCCGGTTCTTGGTTCGTCGGCACACGGGGCCCAGGCTTCAATGATGACCTTCTTCCCCTTTGCCTGTCCAACACTCGACATATTCTTGCTGCGTCGTGCATTGTCCAGACAGGATCGTCACGCGAAGCAGTCGAACCAAAACGTGCAAACCCAAGTTCCTGAAGAGACGGTGGGTCGGAAATGCGAAACAACGGTGAGGAGTGCTGGCTATGGCGTCACCTGCATGCTGCGGCTGGCTTGAACGGCAGCTGTTAGGCCAGCGAGCCTTGGGATGCAAGTCTGCAGGACATGAGAGAAGTGCGGGACGATGCTTCCTTCCTCAAGCTTCTTTCTCGCTCCTAGGCTTGATAGACATGCTTTCTTTCGGTGGCCTTCGCACATCGCGCTTAGGGGAAATGACTCGACCACTGATGATCGGTGTCGGCTCAGCAAAAGAACTTTTGTTCAATCTCAGTCTCTCGTAAGGTTTTGTGATTTTCTGTCACTTCCCACAAGCTAGAAATTCGCATCAACCGAAATGTGCCTGCATAAATGCAAAACCTAATCAATTGAAGTAATAACACAGACAAACTGAATGGCAGAGTTCAATTGGCCGAAGGGAAAGACAATTGATGCCAAATCTTGATAAAAGAGAGGTCAAAAGATCCGATACTCTAGTTCTACCGGATCACGAATACACCTTCCAGTTGCTACACGGTACTTCGCCGCACTGACGCGAGTGCCTGCGCAAGACAAGACGACGGGTCACTTCCTTGTGGGGGGTCTTGTTGCGAAGCGAACATGAAGTTGCTTGCACCAAACGTGGGTAAAATAAAGTCCCAGCCGCTTCGAGCCTTCCTGATCCACCTCGGGCGCAGCCTGTTCGAAAACATGACAGCGATGTGGACTCCACGTGGAGCTCGCATAATGGTGCCCGGGGCCTCTCGCCATCCTGTTGGCTTCTGCCACTCGGCAGGTGCAAGCATCGAGCTTGGGTTCGAGCCTCGGCCAAAGACGGAAGCTTTTGCAGCTGGTGGCTCTGGCTTTTTGCCGAGGCAAAAATCACAGAGCAGCAGGAGCAGGGACTCTTCTCTTACCTCGCCAGAACCTGCGGAGCAGACTTTAAAGACATCACCCGGCAAGGCATCGACATCGAGGCATATCGAGGCCCGAGCTCCGCCAATGCTCAGCAGTACGCTGCAAATAGCGTGCAAGCGCTTCAGCTCCGACCTCCGAGCACCCACACACCCAAGCACACACCCGCACCCACACCCACACACACACACACACACTGAATGCTAAGGAAGGTTTCGGTATGCGACGGACCACCTGATGTCCAGGTCTCAAGCAACCACACATCAGAGACTTCGGACAGGTAGCTTCATGGACAGCAACTGCAAAGAGGAAGTGCAGAAAGTCTGTGGCTGACACACACACACACACACCCACACCCACCCACGCACGCACGCACGCACGCACGCACGCACGCACGCACGCACGCACGCACGCACGCACACGATACTGTACGCTGCTGAAGGCCTCATTCTACATTCGACATTAATTCTGAAAACACGCCATGACTTTATTTATGTGCATGTATGCACGCACGCTTGTATGGATATGCTATGATATGTTTATGTACAGAAGACCTAGAGGTATAGGTACACATCGGACATGAACACATGCGCACATAGTTGATCGAGGGAAACCAACGTCGTGAGCAAGGCCGAATTCTCCCCACGCTCCTCACGAGCCATCTCGAAGGGCGCACGCTGCTTCTGGTCCACCAGTGCGGGGCAGGCCTGGCACGAAGATGCGAGAACGTGGTGCGTCGACATTGTCGACATGTGGACGATTTCCCGCGGTTGCTGGATGCCCAGCAGCCATTAAAGTGAAAAATCGCCAGAAGCTCCTTATACAATGTAGCAAGCAAGTATGTGTGCAATACTTTGCTCGTGCCTGGGCCTCCAACAAGGCCATGACGACGTCCTGTGGCGCAACAGCAGCAGGTGAGCAACGAGGTCAAGTGCATCTTACAAGACTCCGTCTTAACCTTGTCTCCGTTGTGCTTTTCCGAAGAAAAGGCAGGCAATGTTGGCTTGTCTCATATGGGCAAGAGGCAGAGTGGCCACCAGCAGCCGCATACATCAGCGCAGTACCTCCACCGTTGATGAGCGCGTCATGCACTAAGGCCATTACACATAGAATCGCATGGCTTGAAGTGCCATCGAGGCTCTTCTCATACTCGGCGGAGGGTCGCGCCAGTCGACCTGCGCAGACTTGCAGGGGACTCGGGACAGCCTGGACAAGTGTCGTAGCATCGACTGAATGCCGAACAGAGCCACAAGCACAAAACTCGCCTCGCCATGCCCAAGCCAACGTGTGGTGCCTGCATGCGGTCGGTCCACCATTTCGACACATCACGCGGCAGAAGCTTCAAAATAGCTGATTCCACGGAACCGCAACGAGGCAAGGAAGTTAATAATTGCTGCGGGCAAAGAACATCAAAAAACTTCATGGGCGCATTGCAGGATTGCAGCTTCGTTTCGGTGTCACAACTCACAACACCTGCCTTGAACACTGCCATTTGCTGCGGCAAGGCACAACCTTTGCACTGCGCAACACTCGGTCCCATGATGTCCTGCTTTGACAGGAATGATATGACTGGCAAGCCATGCTGCTGCTGCGGACTTCGTTGAACCGAGGTGTCCGCGCCCATTCCTCGAAGTGAGGGTTGCGCTCAGTCTTAGCGCCATGCTGCCTGCAGCTCCGTGAGAAGGTCTTATTTATGGGGTACCCGGGTGCTGCAGCTGAAGAAGAAACCCCGTCTCGGAACCTTCCCCGGAAGCGGGCAGGAAACCCGCTCCGGTGGACCGAAGCCTTTCGCTACAGAGGGGAGGCGTCAAGCGCTTGTCTCAAGAGGCATATCTCCAAGCTCTCTCCCAGGCCGCAGAAGAACGATCACTTGGAACTTACGGGTCGACGATGTTACATGGCGTGCCTAAGCACATCGGTGACGCCGTGGTACAGCAACGCCTCCAAGAAAGAGCTCATACTGGGCTGATCTGTCGAGCTCGAGGCAAGACCCGCCTCCGAGAGTTCAAGTGCACTCCTCACAGTAGACCAGACTATGGCATGACGGTGTGCGGCGTGTGCGGTGCCATGTTTTGGAGTGACAGGGGAGCTGTTGACATGGTCTGCATTCCCTTCTCCTGCGAGATCGTGGATCCAGTCGATTCAGGTCTGCTCTAGCGATCGCTAACGCCTCCTTGGCAACAGCTGATAAATTGCACAAGGCACGAATACTTCCTCATTGCCAAGTCAACTATGCTGAACACGTCATGTGGAAATCATGAAGCACGTTGCAACGCCGATCTTTTGGACGCTCTTGCTCGCTCTCAACGGTTAGCTAAGTTGAAGAACTCTATTCACCTAAGCCCTCCGTGATGTCCACTGAGCTACCCCGAAGAAGGAAGCAGGAGAGAGCTATGCGATTCCATAGGCTTTGAAAGCTGTCACGGCTTCTCGTGCGGCATCTTCAACAGCAGCCTCAGCATAGCAGAGCCCAGTGCAAGGACATTAGTCAGACCCCAGCGGACTGATGATCTGCGTTTCGGGGCGGCAGCACACAGTGTGCGGCAGTCTGGCTAAAGATTTCGGGTGTCTACGCACACACCTGTTGCCTGCTTTGCGAGGAATGCTCGCAAACCCAATGCCAGTTATCTAAACACAAATACGTGACAAGCCAAGTCCAATAGCAATCGGGACGCTCCATCCGTTCGCTTCCAGTCGCCGACAAATTCCCTCGGAAACGATTCCGGCAGAATCTGCTGCCTCGTGGAAAACCACAACATGATCTGGATATCTGGATGACACTCCGCCTTCAAGATTGGCCTACGAGCATGGGACGACAGGCATCTGCTGTGCCAACCCGATCACTGTGGCCAAGCAGCGCTCGACCGGGAAGAACCAGGGTGGCCCTATGTTTGGCATTCTTGACGTCTCGATTCCTCGGAGCCCCGTCCGTTGGAAAACTGAAATCTCGGACCCTGCCTCGCACGACAACTCTAAGTATAAGACAGCAGCCTGTATGCGTGGCTTACAACTTGACACCTGCACTGTCACAGCGTAAGGACTGCAGCTTTGTGAGGCCGACGGGAGTCGGGAGCACTGCACAGAACCTCAGGAAAAATCGCCGAGGAGCTCCAACTCGTAGGTCACCTCCTCGCGAGAGAAGCCCTTGAGCAGACGCGCCCTTCGCTGCAGTCGAGTCGTCTGTTCGGGCAAGGACCGGATGCATCTGGGAGAGTAATTACATGCGTCATGAAGGTTCTTTCATTAGAGCATCGGCCATGCAACACTGCCTTCCGTAAGCTTAAACTCTTGACAATGCGCTGTTCGTCAGAAACTTCCAGACTGCGCAGTCCAAGCCGACTTAGGAATCGTTCATGCTTATAGGCCCTAGGCACATCTGACGAATGCAAGGTCGAACATGACAGTCCTAGGAAAAATGATGTTAACTTGCTGCGAAGCCGGCATCTGATCCGAACAGATGCTCTAAGCTCAGCCACGTTGCAAAGCGCTGTTGAGAATGCTCCTTGCTACTCGAGCGTCTGTCTCTATGCAATTTGCTGCTCTCGGGCTTCAGAGATGCGTGCTCTCAGAGACGACCTCAGCACAAGCTTCGCTCCTGCTGGACAGAATCTGCTCGCGGGGAATTGTGTCGTCGAGGTCCTGTTGAGGACCGTTGCATCTGCATGCATAGCAAAGTGCGTGGATGGCCTTCCAACACTCAAGGAGCGCAACTTCCATTTGTCTTGCTCATCAGTATCGAGCAGGTGCATGCTGTGCACCCGAGATGCAGTCATCCTGTGGGTCGAAGTTGTCTATGAAGCCCTGCACGAAGCTCCTTAGCTGCATGTCTTACATTCTCTCCTTGCAATCAAGGTCAAACAGGTCCGCCAGAATCATGGGCGTTGCCACTGACAACAACTGATTCCCGCTTCAATGTCGAGTCCAACCGCCGAATGAACTGACTGCTGCGTGCATGCTGAACTGCAGCTTGGGGTCTCTGGATAGCTGAGCGGATCTAGACCTGTCCAGGCTCTGAGCTCTCTGTGTCGACGTCTGAGGCAAAGTTCATCAAACTGTGCCAAAAGGCCCGAGGGCAAAGGCAAGGAGCTTCAATTGAGGACTGAAATCCGGTGCTGGTTGATCATTGCATGAAAGTCTTCGTGCAGCCCTCCAAGCGACTTCACGTGCCAAGGTGCTCCGGAAGTCTTTGTCTCGCACATACTTCTTCCACTGCTCTGTGCCGCCCTTCTTCTGCAGATCTTTCGCCTCCATAAATGCAGCAGGTATTCACCGAACCTCCATCACAACACGATGCACTGCAAGTACTGCTTGATACTGGTTGCCTTGCTGGCCACCTCCTCCGAGCACAGAGCCACCTGCAAATCGCTACGCCGCTACGTAGTTGGTGCAGCGCAGATTGGTGCACCGGTTGTGGCAGTCTCGACACTTGGGGAAAAACGCCCATACCCAGACGTCCTATCGGTCCTACCGTATAGCATCCCTAGTTTCTGAAGACAGCAACCTCGCAATCGCCCTTCTGGGAACTGGACCAGCAAAGCTGCAGAGTAAAGGGTAGTCACTGACCTTCCCTCAACTTTTCGCCGACCTCACCGAAGGCACCACCACGGTACCGCTCAAGGAAGTCCGTCACCACCTGGGATGTGCCATTGCTGCTGCTTCCGGTCGGCGTTGTCCAAGACGAGCCGGCTCGCTGCGGTTTTCGCTCATGTCTGTGCGCCGCTGCAAGCGCACATCTTCCACAATCGAGGCTTCTCGTATCTCTGTATTTCACACTGTATCTGACCTGGATATTGGCTCACATGCTGCAATCCCAGTCGACTGTTGATGACTTCCTGCACTGTCTAGACTCGATCTGCAAAGCACCGCGCTGTGCCTTCTTACCTGATCCTACCTGTCTCTCTCTCTTCTTCAGCAGGGCATGGGGAGCGTGCGAGGCCCCCCGGCGGCACGCTCCCATGTGTTATGGGGCTTTCGGAAAGGCGTGAGAATTCACAACGAGTCCCCCTGATGACGAGCTAGATTGTTTGCGACATCTTCTTCCCCGGGGCATGAGGGGTGTTCGAAGCCCCTCGGCCTTGAAGGCCCGCCCGATGTTCGCGGGGCTTGTGGAGGAGCGTGACAAGTAGTGAGTGTTTTTCCCACTTTGTTAGACTAGTTTGTGTCGACATCTCTCTTTCTCTCTCTCTCTCTCTCTCTCTATCTCTTTCTCTTCCTCTTCTCGCTTATTTCTATATACTTCAGGAGCAAAGCCGGAACGGCTACCCTTCGCGGCTGGCCACCACGATGATTGCAGCGCAATTCAATAACAATTGCCAACAAGGGCATCATTACGCCGCCGGCCCCTATGATTTGTTCTTCACACTTTGAGGCCCCGACATGTCTCTACTCCCTACAGTATGTGCTGCCTTCTTGCGCATATTCGCCTGAACCTGACGCCTTCTTGGACTCTCTCCGTCTCTCCGTGCAGAGGACACCGAAACAACGATCGCTCAATGCTGCGAGCATCAGCAACAATGCCCCTTCGATCCCAGTAGTGCTCAAACGTCATGTCTCCATCGTCCCCTTCCAGCTGCCGGAAAGTTTCGGATCTCGACGCCCGGCTTGGCTCTATGATTCCGTCGACATAAACCCGTGAGGGACTCCACTCTCGCTTGCATTTCCAAAGTCAAAGCTAACCGTCAGCGGCTATGACGACCTTCCTCAGTCCATGGCTGCATAGCATCATGGCCCGCCTTTTGAGCTGATGTACAAAGCACCCTCCGTGGGCAGGAGACCCACCTCCGAACTTGTGCATCCCTCTCCCCCGGCAGACGAGCCCTCCCCAGTGTCATCCAATTTCTTGATTGCACTTCCGTGTGTACTACCGCAGTTTTGGCTCCTGGACTGCTCGCTCTCACGTGTGGGCAATTTGGCCGAGTTGACGCCGTTTCAGAAAGATACGTCGGCAGCTCCCTACATCCTTCTTTCGCCGTGCTCTTCAGGCGGGACGGCTGGGGCTGGAGGGCACAAACCAAACTCGAACCAATACGAGACGAGTTTCTCTACTTCTGACGTCAGCTGAAACTTTGCATTCTTTTTCACTCTACCTCCCGACTTGCACCTGGATCCATCTCTCTCCGTTTCTTCTGCTTGCCGATAATGCTAGAGGGTGTGCTTATTGTAGACCCGTTTCTGGTGCCAACAACTCGAGTGAGAGCTGAGCTCCGGACCGCAGATGGCAAGTTGCGTGGATTTCGGATGCTGAAACAATTCCGCGCGCAGTAGTTGGCCTGCCGAATTTGGGTTGCTGCATCCAGAGACTCTTGACAGTGCTGAAGAGGCAGAATGCTCGTCATGTGGCTGCTACCGACGAGGCTACGAGGGAGATGGGTGCGATTTCTCACTGCCGCGCACTGGCCAGGAAACTTCTGTCCGAGGAGCCCAATGCCATTGTGCCAAAGGGCTCATGCGCTCCTCGTTCAACTCCTTGCGATGCGACAAAACCGGGGGGAGCGGATCGAGGTAAGATGCAAGAAGTAGGGTAGGGCTGGCAGAGACAGGGTCGGGCAGCAACGGTATGCATCTCTAAAAACACCTGGATCATAGATGAGGCTACACTCAGCTCAGCGGCCCTGATCAGGTCTTCGGAAGCCCACTCCACCGCGGCATGGGCACCCGTAAATGCGGAGAGGAACTGCGCGGCTAGCTGCACCTCGTGTCAGCGTGGAGCTGTCAGTGAAGTTCCGCTTGACTAGGAATGCAGTAATCAGTATCAGATCTCAACTTCAGGTCGAAGACGACCGAAGGACCACATCTTTTGCAGAATTCAGCTTAGAGTCTGGAATGTCAATCAAGTCGGCAGTTCGCTGCCCTTTCCTTGAAGTGGCAAGTCCGTCCAAACAAATTTTCAAGATGTGGCAGGGATGCACAAGTCGAACATGTGAACTCAGCTTGCCCCCGGCCGTTGAAGGCTTCTGACACCAGAGTAAAAAAAGCTCTGGAGATATCCTGGCCCTCAGTCCGATACAGCACAAAAATCAACATCAATGCTTCACATCAACGTGCTGGATCACCTTCGCCCCATGGCAGGCACGATGATGGTAGCAGGCTGGAACATTCACTTGCCTATACAATAATCACGCAGACCTCGGCAGTGTCGCCAAGAGGCTCTGTGCAGAACATCTGCCAAAGCCAAACAGCACCGTTCTTGTTCAGCAGCAGCTGTCCTCAATGGAAGCCACACTGACGCCCAGAAGCTACACACGCTGACGCGCCGGAGCCACTAGCCGGAACTGTTTTTCCGAACTCGAATCAGAGAAATGTCCTTTCAACACGTCGTAAAATGTGCAACAACTTATGACACTGAGACTACGTTTGAGACTTGCTAGTGCATCGCGAATACCATATCGGAGAATGCGCTTCAAACAACAAGATACCAATATCGCCAAAGTCACGAACCGAGCGCTTCTCCTCTACAAGGTCCTGACAGGAGCATCACGCGCATCGCACGACAGCAATGCATGCTTCGATCCCAACACATTGGCGTAAACTTCTGAACCTATTTGCCCCACTTATCTTCAGCTGCCCAGTCCTGCTCTGTGATCTGTCGTCTGGACTCCAGCTTCGGGCAAGCATGGCGCTGCACCCATCCACCATCTCTGGCAGCCTTTTCAACAGCTGGGAATCACGGTCTCGCAAGACATCAGCAGTTGTCGTTTGAGCCCTCTTCTCCAATGTCCTACGTGAACTTCGGCAGATTTCTCTAGGCTTCTCCCACACGGCCACACGGATCACTGGACTGCTCAACAGGAGCAATAAACCAGCTAAACATGCCCATAAATGCAGACCAGGGCTACCGCACACGCCTGTGCAACCATTAAAGCATTCCAACTGTACCAAGCAGCATGCATCTGACATCGCGACACAAAAGCAAGCCTTAGCAATTGAATCTGTCAAGTTTTCCCTTCATGCTCGGCCAGTTAAGCTGGCTGCATCACGTCGGCTGCGTCTCTGGCTTGTGCATTCTGCAAGCGCGTGTCGAGTGCCAGCCAAGCTACTGTCAAATCTCGCCAACTTGAAGTCCCAGGTTTTATGTCATGCTGGAAATACTGGTTGGTGGCAGGCCGAGAAGCGAAGCAGCAACTGAAGCGCTCAAAGCTGCCAACAAACCTGAATGCACGTATCGCGAACAAACTGAGGCAGCTGATCTCAGCCCAGCTCGCATTCGGCCAGGCAAGAAGTCTGTTTGAGAACCCCTCGGCTGCCTGCCCACCGCCGTCTTTGCACCATGTCCCAGTGGGAGGTGATGGGAGTCTAGGCAGGCTTCGGGGATTGATCGGACTGCGAGAGTTGATCAGAAGTCCGTGGGGGAGATCGATTTGCCACGCTCAATTTCAGGATCGATCCAGCTGGTACGTCGATTGGGTCAAGATCAAGGCACTGTGCTTTATGGCAGATCCTGTATGTATATAGTATAGAGCACAGCTGACTAATCGCCATCGCCAAAACCATGTCCGGACTAGTGGACGCAAGCTGGAATTCATCGTGTGAATGTGGTTCTGGAGAGACTGATCCATTTTGCAGTTGCATGGTCTTGCCGACTGGAAAGCTGCGGCCACTCTGAGGTTTGAACTGCATGACGAAATGAGTGCGTTGATTCTCATGAACAGCCCAGCTTTCAAAATTGAAGCAGACATGGCCAGCAAACCCACCGTTCATGCTGGCACTGCGAACACAACAACCATGCCTTTTCTCCATGGTCGCAGCTGTTGGTATTTCCTAGTCAAGTCGAAGGCCGTATCACACGGCCAGTACGCAATACTCGCATATAGTCGAAATAGCATATTCTGCAATCATCTTGGCCTCGTTGAGTGGGACGTGCATTGGTCAGGAAGTAGGGGGGCAGCTTAGTGATTGAGGCCGTGAGTAGTTTCACTCGTCCATTGCATAGGCCTACCACGAATGCAATCAAACATCTCGTGTAGGAGCACGCACTTCAACTGCGAACTGCCTCTCCACAGAAAAGAGACTTGCATGTGGTTCAGCGCGCTGGGCTGCTGTCAACGCGTCCACAGTCACTGCTGGGAGTTTCGAGCAAGTGGAATCCTCATTACTTATTATTCCATCCCTTCGGCGAAGAAAGCTTCGACATACAAAGAATCGTCCTACTATAGCATGCACATATACCTCCGAGAAGCGGGGAAGCCATAGGTCCGTTTTGCATTGCCAGCGTTGCAGAGTACTTTACTTCGTGGAATAAATCCTCGCTACTATGTAGTTCCCGGCGGAGAGCCTCTCGGACATGTTAGGGTACCCTGAGTAGTAGTTAATGCAGAGTGAAGCACCGCCGCGGACCCAAAAGGGTCAAATGTGCTGGCTGTGCCAGATGGAAACGGACCCAGCAGGGCCACAAAGCCCCTCATCTTGACGCAATCTCGCTGCCTCAACCCAATGAAGTACCAGCAAGAGTGAAGTGTTGAGCGGTGTTGCGCGCTGCCCATCCGGACGAGGAAGTCTGAACCCACCAGCAACTGCAAAAGAAATGTTGAGAGCCTTGGGCTATGTGAGATTTGAAGTCTGCAGCTGCAGACCTCACAAGCGCCATACGCAGTAGCTGCAAAACATCTTGCATCTACATATACGCGGGGGGGTCTGATCCGGTCGGCAACTGCCGTCTACCGGCTAAAATTGAAGGGGCTGACATCGGGATGTGGGCCTGGACAAGGAAGAGTCGAAGAAACGAAGGATATTGAGCGCCCGGATTGCTAGAAAGGAGCGAGCTAAACACAGACATGCAAGGTCTCAAAATGGACAAGGCCAGCTCCTCATCTAGAACCATCACCGTCAAATCTATCTACCGATCATGCGCGAATAATTGCAGGGTCGCTTGCTGGTGGTTCCTCAAGAATCAGGGCTGACCACAGATACTTGTCTGCCATCTCCCAGCAGTTGTGGCACGGTCAGCACAGTCGGCGCAAGGATTTGCGCAGCTCACGCTCGCATCTAAGGCATCATCGGCATGCCAGGCATCATGCCTGGAAGCACACCGCACAGCGTCCATCTTGAAGAGGGATTACAAGCACATAGAGTTGAGCAACCAAATGCTTCTGCCACGTTGCATCTGTTAGAACCAAAAGGATTGGGGTTTAGGGTCGTTTGGGTGTGCCATCTACGTCGCCCGAGCCTGGCAGGCCAGTCATTGCCATGCCTGGCAGTGGCATCGCACCCGGCAGCTTCGGCATCGTGGGGGAAAGCCTTGACAAGTCGCTGTCATTCCCGCTATATACGGTATTTCCCGCCTGACAAGACACGGCAAACACATCGCAAACGGAGACGCTGCAGGTTGTGAAAGGGATTCGTCACGGAAAAGCCAAGCCATGAATAGGTTCATTTGTAATTGCAGGCTTGAGCTGGCGATTGCCTGCAGTTGTGCATGTACGTTCCAGGATGCACATGCCCTGATGCATGCGTGCATTAGCGAACTGTTTCAGAGAAACCGGACAACGGCACGGATGACCACTGGACCAACAAACGACAGATCCATCGAATGTCTGTCGGTGCGGTTACCGGTTTGTTTCAGAGACAGGACTGCGTAACCCAGCCTCACTTCATGTCTGTCGACATTGGACATTTGCAAGTGCTGCTGTCATGGCAAGCTTCCTGTCGTGTGAATTCGATACTTTGATCGCTGCTTTCGGTGTTCAGTTTCGCGCATAGCTGACATCCACACGCGTAATTGAATGGAGCAGCGCATCGTATGAAAGAACAGACAAAGCCAATTTAACCGCAGGTCGAAGGGGGCATGAAGCTGGACAACATGGCGCTGCAGCCAAGCAGGTCGACTCACCCAAAGGACAGCTGGGCTTCGGGATCGGCCGATGTTGATTTAGATGTGACATGCAGGTTGAACTCGATTCCTGGATCTAGCTGCAAAAATGCAGGAACGTCCCAAACTATGTTTGCCTGTCGCTGTTAATGCCACGAGGCATGCCCGGCAGAATCCCGCCGAGTGCCGGCTTCGGCGCGGCGGCAGCCGGCAGCTTCGGCATTGGCAGCACCATGCCTGCAAAAGTTCTTGGCAAGCACGCATTGAAGTTAAGAGATGTGCACATGACTTGGTCGGCCAGGCACGCGGCAAAGTGCGAGGTGACGGCTCGGACTACAGTCTTGGCTTCGTCTTGATGCTCGCATGTCTGGGGATGCTTCGGAACCGAAACAATCACCTTTGCCACAACTTCCAGCCATCTCTCAAATTTCTGAGGTTATTGAGGCTCTTCAGATTGCCTGGCGGAGGGGGGTATATGGGCGGAGTGAGCCCTTTCTCGCGGATCAGCATCTGATAGAACTCAATCCTTGGAGTGAGTGTTTCAGGAGTTGCAACAATGCAACCGCCAGTTCATCAAAACGTTCAAACCCGTGCAATCACCACGCTCGACCTTCACACACACACACGAATCAATGCATTTTCACTGAGAGGCTTGTTGTTGATGTGCCGCCGGCCAGTCATATGCTGTCTTCGGCCCGATGTTCCCCTGTGTCCCAGGAACATGTCGCAGTACTCGCCTGGGTGCCGTCGCTGGTTGCAATCAAGCGCTCGCTGCGTCTAGACGGAGTGGATGTTTAAGCGCTAAGTTACGTCGAAGCTTGAACTGGGGAAACGCAACAGGCCGCTTTGGTTGAAGCTTGACCTTCCAGCTTGTCTGGATTGTGTTGGCGGATGTTGCAGTGTGAAGAAAAGCGCAGCCCCGGTGCAGTAGAACTTCGGCATGATCGGTGCAGTTCGAAAGGCTGAGCGCCACCCGCATGGCCCTTCTCTTGGAGATACCCGTAGTCTACCCTCTGCCTTGAGCCTGAGGCTGCAATGCGGATGCGTTTTGAGTTGCACCTGTCCTTCGCAGCCGAGGTACAGTAAGACAATTTTCAGTCTTCCTTTCAACATATCATGAACCAATACAATTACAACGCTCCACAACCGGGCTCGCGGACTACTGCGCTGTGGTTGTTGTTGGCGACACTGGTGAAGAGGGCTCTGCGTAATTCCTCCGATTGGAAGGCACTTGGCTTGCATCATGCGGGGGTGATCAAGCGGGTCCAGGGAAGGGCAGCACTGGACACTTCGTATCACTGGTCTCCCAGGCTGCACTGCCTTACGAAGCTTCTCCAACAAGCCTGGACCTTCGATGGCGGTCCACCGCGTGCGCCAGTGAAGCACTGGGCGACAAGACATGATCATGACGATGCAAAGCAGATCTACTCCTGTCTGTAGCAGTGCGTAAACTCGAACGTTTCAAGCGTCGAGATTGCAGATGGATTGACGGCTGAGCGCAAGGTTGGATAACACACCAACGCTCAGTACAAAAGCCTCATGTTGAATTGACAGAAGAGCCCAAAGCCATCGACGCTGGCCATGCCGAGGACGACACCCAAGCCCCGAGGACAGAAGCAAGGGCTGCTTCGTGGACCTTGCATGCCCAAGCTAATCGTCACTGCAAAGACTCTTCGGCCTCATGTCATGAATTACGTGAGCCAGCGGGAGCAAATTTGTGGAGCGCATACAAGCACTCCGGCACTGGGAGAAAGCCTCTGGCCAAGGGCAACGGTGTGGTGCAGCAGGAGAGGACCGCTAACAGCGCCTGCGGAACACGGGGTCATATGGGATGGAATCTCAAGACTGGACTCGTGTGCTGCTAGCTGCTGAGCATGTCACCGGCATGAACCGAAAACCAAATCGAATGTCAATATCGAAGCAATTTGACACGAGAGTCGATCACAGTCTCCTGGCGCCACTTGGGCAACGAGGTCTGCAGCTCAGTGACTATCTCAGGGGCCTCCTCTCTCCACATATGGATGGATATCTAGCAAGCAAGCTGCACTTTGAGGACATGCTTGAAGAACTCCTCTGCGGCGGCTAGAAGTGGGACCACTAGGTCGGCCGGCATGTGTAGCCTTTGAGGGACCTGTGCAGAAAGGAAGGATTCCCCAACAAACCACGAGGATCCAGGATCCGGCTCTCCGAGACGCAGGCATCGAGGGCTTCGTCCAGCGCTGTCCGCTTGGAGTTGTCGGCGAGGCTCAGGTCCACGCGGGCGCGGACCTTCTGCCAAGGCTGGGGGAAGGATGAAGTCTCGCTACCATGCAATGGTGCCTCTACCTCTGCCCTATAAGACCGCTGCGCTGGCGTGGATGAGGTCTCGCATGACCTGATTCCAAAAGGTTAGAAATCAATAATGTGCTCCTTGTGCCACATGTAGGCATGTGATGTGGACCATGTATGCCTAGCAGACAACTCGGGAACATGGTACACCCGTGGGATGCATTCATGGATGTGCGACGGATGCCCATGCAGTTCGTAAGAGAACCTGCGTTGCAAAGAAAAGCGTGTTTACAGCTCGAATACAAGAGCAGGACTTCCAGAAACCCTTCACTCGCTTTCTGAACCTCCACATTGCCGGAGGCAGCAGCTCCATGAAGAGGACTGCGACCTCTCCCCCGTGTCAGGTGCAAATACAGCGTACTCCGTACAGTGGCAAACGGGAAGCAAACTGCATGCAAAAGCATGCCTGAATCCAAGGAGATCACGGAAGGATCTGCCTGGCTACGGCTGGAGACAGGATTTCAGGATGTGCATGGGTGGTAAGCCTGCAGATCCGGCAGTTGCAGCGATAGCCCTCAATTCAATTTGATGCACTTCGCCTGCATGCATGAGCCATGCTATCCGCTATCCTGCTAACTGCAGGGATGCGAACCTCCAAGATGCAAGCCCTTCAATTCTCAACAACTCTGCCCAAAAGCGAGAAGATGAGCCTTCTGCTCCAAGCAGACCTTCACCACAGCGGCATTGCCCTCCTCGGCGGCGCTGAGGAGGTCGCGGCCGAGCCTTTTCTGTGAACGAGTGGCAGTGGGCCTTCTGTTTGGGCGCTCGGCAGCCGAGGTACTGCAGAGAGCAACGAGTCACTAGTCTTAGACCAGCTCGAAAATGCGACGAACAGTTCCGGCCCAGGCAGCACGCTCCCACCTCCCGCCGCCCCACACACAGGGCTGAGGCTTCGCTCGCCATTTGGCGAAGCGATCCACCACGGGACCTTCTCCGGGATAGCCTCCACGGTCCGCTGACGGCAGGATGCGAAAACGTCGAAATCTTTAGTCCAGACAATGCTGTCGCTTTCCTGCACTTTGCTTCTCCTTCTTATTTATGCATTCCAAGGTGTTCAACTTCGGAAATTGTACGAAAGGCACATTCGGAAATTGCACGAAAGGCACAACTGCTTGACCAGTCGCAAGTCATGTTGGACCACGTTCTTTCAGGTTTCTCTTCACCCCGTGTTCATTGTCACAGCTCAAAGCCGCCTCTTTTAATTGGAAGGACGGGGTGGCCTCTCGGCGGAGGCCGTGGCCCGAGATAGACCGTGGAGCTCATGGTGCCAGCATCTCACCCAGCAAACACACCTGAGAGGCTGGCAGCTGCTGTCAGCAAGGGGCCGACTTAACGCACGTTCGAGCTCGATGCCTGGGCAACGATGCTGCCGACCTGCACCGCAGAGCCAAAATTCACACTATGACCTTGAGAACGACAGCAATGTGCACTAACGATGTTACTCCTCTGGCAAGCCCTCACTACGACGCTGACACAGCGTCAGCTAACGGACGCTTGATTTTCTGCAGCCATGGCTCTTACTGCAAGTGGCCAATGCGTGCAAACGTTGGGAAGCTGCGGGGGAGTGGGTCGGGGCTGAGGTTGACCTTTGCGAGCTTTGGCTCCGGTGAAACGAGAGACTGGAGGCTCAGGCTTTGGAACCTTCAGCCCGTGAGCAAGCAGTCCATGGAAGTGCTGGGAGCACATTGTTGGAACAAAACCATGCAACAGTAGCGTTCTGCAAGGTCTAACTAACCATGGACTTCCAGCTGGACGGGTGTCGTGATCAGTGGCGCCAAATCTTCAGAACGCGGTCTTTACCGCCGGTCGCAACCCGCGAGCCGTCCAAGCTCCAGTCCACGGCGTAGACCTGTGCCAGTGCCGACAGAACTCGCGCAAGATCAGCCCGACTAGTCGGTCTTTGCAAGCGGAGTCACTGCATAACTTGATCTTGCTGGCAATTGCGTCAAAGAAGTATGCACAGAGCCATGTGTTCTTAGCTGCCTTAGCTGCAGTTGCGGTCGTGCGGAGAGTGAGTTCAATGTCACATGCAAGCGGTCGGCCGAGGCTTAAGCACCGTTACCTGGGCATGTTGTCAAGTGGTACAGGGAAGACGGAACGTTTCCGTACTTCTGATTCTTGTGAAACTTTCAGTGGCACTGTGACTCGGCACTGGAGGCTTATGCCTTATGCCTGCAAACTCCGTGAAGCCATGGCCATGGGATGCCTCGTCTGCGTGGCCTGGCAAGTCCTCCTGCAGCTTGCGCCGGCCGATATCCTTCACTCGAGCCAACAAATGAGGAAGGGGACGATGCGTTTGAGGCTTGGCACAGTTTCAGTGGTCTGACATGGAGCTGTTGGGGCTTCTTGTGCGGCTTGTCCTCGCAAGACGGGCCAGGGCCAAAGGCCAAAATCAAGTGCTTGACAGGCGCAGCATAGGCTACCTCTCTCTTCGTGGGGTGCCCAGCGGGAAAACAACCCCATCACCCATTGCAGCTGAGAATCCCAGCACTTTGCCGTCGAATCTTTGGACACGCTCACAAGCAGTCGACTGTCGCCCGACCACGCCAGCTGGTAGACATCACCTCAGTGAGGTGACGCGCAAGCACGGCTCTGCCTCGGGCATCTTCAGACTTTGCATGGCAATCCCGCTAGTGACTGCCAGTGGTCGCAGTTGTTGTGGCCATTATGTTGCTGTCCGCAGGGTATGTGTACATCAATATTTATCCGCCCATCTCTGGCCATAATCATCCCAGTTAGACTTGTACTGGGGTGGGTGGATGGATGGATGCATGGGTGGGTAGATGGATGGTAGCTGTGTACCTATGCGTGCATGTATGCACATGTATATACACATGTGTTCGTCATGTATATGTATTTGCTGTATATATATATATATATATGTATGTATGTATCAATATGCTCGTTTGTAGGGTTGGATCCGCGGGGGCTGGATCAGTGGGCTTGGCAAAAACCAAAGTTATCAAAATCAGAAGTCAACCTGAACAAAGACTTATTGGATACGTTACGACACGGTAGGTTTGTCCAGAATTAATGTAACTGGAGATTTGCAGACACTGAAAATTGTTGAGAAAACCATGAAAAAATGTAGTATTATTTCTGTCCAAGCCGGTGTGTGAACAGAGCAACCGGAAGCTGTGCCATTCCAGTGACCCCTTGCACCGACATTGGCACGTCGGGCAAGGTCACACTAGATGGCTGGCCTTTGTGTCCCCAAGCAAGGAAACTTGATGGCTCTTCGGGTGAGAGCCCGGCAACACCAACAGGTTTTCGCAAGGCTGAGGACGTCTGTGCAAGAGCCGGCAGAAGCTGCAAAGGTGTGACTCCCAAATTGTCAACAAGAAATTGTTCCTCAAGTGTGTTCACTTGTGCCATGCCACTGACCCCTTGCACCGACATGGGCACATCGGGCAAGGTCACAGTGGATGGCATCTATTGTTTCCTCACACTGCTCAGAACAACCTGTCAACTTAAACAGGTTGCTGCAAGGTTGAGGAAATCTTGAGTCAGCATGGCATTGCTTGGCAAGGTTGACGATTCGAATTGAGGAAATCTTGAGGAATCCTCCTCAAGTGGGGCAAAGAAGGCAAGCACGACGTCCAAGGCCCTGATTTGCCGGCGCATACTCATTCACTGAAAGAGCCATATCAATTCTGTTCCTCCAAGTGTGTTCACTGAGACAGCCACATCGACATAAGGCTGCAAGCAAATCAGACTTGTGTCTCAATTGTTATGCAACCTTCTCATCAGTCATCGCACTGTTTTACCTGTGTTGCTGCATGGCCTGCTGTTGCTGTTGTGTCACAGCATTCACACCCCAAAAACCAGTCACAGCAGATTGGCTTGAATAATAAAAAGCATGCAGCTCAGTAAGCTATGAAACGTATTTTGGCTGACGAAGCGGATCGTCACAATAGATTCCGGACAATCTGCGCAACTGCTTCCCCGAACATCGAAGTGTATTCCCCACTAGCCTGTACATCTGCTGGCACACCGGTGAAACGGCCGTCTTCGCCTCGGTTTACCAGACCAATGAAAGCATTATGATCTGGTTTGGGCCTGGCCAGGTTCTCAAAATGAAACCCAGGCAAATGCCACAGTTGCAAGGGCTTCACTGACTTTCCGTTAAAGGCACCCATGTAGGTGCAAGTCTTTTCGAAGCCACAAAAGGATAGAACTGTTTTGACACACTCGAGGTGCGGCATACAGGAGCTGAGGGGCTGTTCCACCACAGGGCAGCACTCACATGCCCATCCCAGGAAAATCCCAAGTGAGCAAACAAGGGCCTGACAATTTCCCTGCAATACAAAGTCCCGCTCAGTCCATGCGCCTTCCCAGCCGTTGCTTTCAGCACGTTGGGAACGAAATGAGCACATAATGACAAAAGAAGAGCACGGAGTGCCCCACCAATGCAAAGCCTTCTTCTCACACGCTGTGGCTGCATCCAGAAACAAACGCAACCCTTTCGCTAGCAACATGTTGTGTTCGTCATTGTAGAGTATGTCAAAGCTGCACCCACGGAGACCGGATTCGATCAATTTCTTCGAAAGTTTGGCGCTCCCTGCATAGTATTCAATGTATTGCAGCAACCCCGCACATTGATGGGGTCCCACATCGATTGAAGCTGCTTCAATCTTGGCTCTGTTGTCATAGCTACGGCTAATGATGCACATCAGCTGACACTCGATGGTTCGGTTCTTCAATGCGGGATAAGCCAATCCAATCAGCCCATGCCATTTCATGGCCACTCTGCCCACATTGAAGTCCTGGTCGTAGCGCAAGAAATTTTGCACCAAAATCCTTGCAACCATGAGCCTGTGACACCAAGGCTCTGTGGACCTGGCCAGCAAGATCAATTGAGGATGATGATAAGTTTATGTAGTATTACATTAATGAAAAATTCAAATTATAACAAAATCTGTGACCCATAACACTTTGAACAGACTCCGGCCTTGGGGAGAAAGACAAGGAAGCAAACGGAAGGAAATGCGAACATTGCAATCGCGATGTTTGCTCGAAGACGTCCTCTACCCAAGTGTCAAACCGATCATCAATTTCATCAGTTCCTGTAACTGTATCGGTAAAATTCAAGGCAGGAAGAGTACACGGGCGCTCCACTGATCTACCTCCCAACTCAAATGACTCTGCAGCATTCTTTTTCCTTTTGCATTTCTTGCGTGCTGGCTTCACAGGCCCAGCACTACCACTGAAGACCAGCGATGATCCCAGCACATGCTGGCACGGCCACTGGAAATTGGACATGTTGGTGATTCACTGACATCAATACATTGATTTGTTGTCCCACATAACTTTAAACCATACCTCTGGTCCAACTTGAGCAACAAATGGATTCAATGCTTGCCTGGCATATCAAGCACATTCCACAAACTAACAGGACACAATGTCAGGAAGGCTTGTTTTTGCTGATCGCTTTCTCCCCGAGCAATCTGCAGCATAACTATGGTGAGACTTCATGATTCATGTCATGTCATCTTCAATTGCACACTTCAGGCATTCAGCAACTGTAATTGCAACGTAACTGTAAAGACTCAATCACAGAATGAACAGCAACTGCGCACAAGCTGAAGCCAAAATTGTGAATCGAACATGTTGCCGCTATGACAGCAGGAGCAGATTCACACACATTGGACTCGGCTGGATGAACTCACTCCCTGTGACTTCTTGAATCGACCGAAGACTTGAAGCTAAGAACACGATACTTGCATACATGACATTGACAGAAATCTGCAACCTGCTGACATGTTTTCCCCTGTGATGTGTTTATCACCAAAAAAAACTGAAGAGGCTACTTGGCATACTTTGTGGGCGGAGGCATTGCGTCGATAATCGGGGCAAGGCGTTCCAGGACAGCCTCAGGGATAGTGCCAGGCTGACAATGAGGCGGCAGTTGCCTTTCAGGTTTGGCCTTCTCCCACTCTGTCCACGCCCAGCGATGCACTTGAGCCAGTGCTTGCTTCCAGTCTGATCTGTCGTTAGCAAAGCTTTTGCTGCAAGACTTTTTCCCCTCACTTGACACATACTGTTTTGTCATGATCTCGGCTTTGAAGCGATGATCGTTGAAGCTGAGACGCAACTTGAAGTCTTCGGGTGGATCCAACTCCGACAGGAAGTCGGGAGTGTTATTCAAGTGTGGACCATGCTCGCGCGGAGCACGTTGCGATGCCTGGCCACGATGTGCAGCATCATCAAGGACCTGCTCAGGGGCTGATCCGCTCGAGGACGAGGCCTGTGCCATTCCACTG